CAACTCCTGCTTTTTTCTCCCTATTGTTTGCATGAAGTATTTTTTTCCATCCCTTCACTTCTAGTCTGTGTATGGGCTTGATGTGAGTCTCTTGTAGGCAGCATATAGATGGGTCTTGCTTTTTTATCCATTCTGTAACTCTGTGTCTTTTGATTGGTGCATTCAGTTCATTAACATTTAGGGTGTTTATCGATAGGTAAGTACTTATTGCCATTTTAGGGTTTGGATTCGTGTTTATCAAAGGTTCAAGGGCAGCTTCTTTACTATCTAACAGTCTAATTTAACTCGCTTGTTATGATATTACAAACACAAACTAAAGGTTCTTTTTTTTCTTTCTGCCTTTTTCCTCCTTCTCTACTCTTTTTATGTTCAGTGTCATATCCTGTAACTCTGTGTATCCCTTGACTGACTTTGTGGGTAAGTGATTTAATGTTGCAGTTGGTTAATGATTAATTGGTCTACTTCCTTTGCTGTTATTTTATTTTCTCTTGTGTCAGCTATTTAGCCTTAGGTGCTCTTCCATCTGGAGCCGTCCCTTTAAAATACCCTGTGGAGATGGTTTGTGGGAGGTAAATTCCCTCAACTTATGCTTTGCTGGAAATCATTTAATCCCTCCTTCAAATTAAAATGACAATCTTGCTGGGTAGAGTGTTCTTGGTTTGAGGCCCTTCTGTCTCATTGCATTGAATACATCATGCCACTCCCTTCTGGTCTGTAAGATTTCTGCTGAGAAGTCTGATGATAGCCTGATGGGTTTTCCTTTGTATGTGATCTTTTTTTCTCTCTCTGGCTACTTTTACTACTCTGTCTTTGATCTTTGCCATTTTAATTTTCATATGTCTTGGTGTTGTCTTCCTTGGCGCCCTTATCTTGGGAGATTTGTGCACTTCATGGCATGAGAGTCTATTTGCTTCCCCATATTGGGGAAGTTTTCAATGTTTTCAGCAATTATTTCTTCAAAGATACTTTCTGTTCCTTTTTCTCTGTCTTCTTCTCTTACTCCTTTAATATCAATATTGTTCTGTTCCGATTGGTCACACTATTGTCTTAATGTTATTTCATCCCTAGTGATCCTTTTTTCTCTTTGTTTCTTACCTCCTCTTTTTCCTGCTCTGTAGTATCTATTCCATTTACCATTTCCTCTACATCATGTAATCTGCTTTTAAGTCTCTCCATTGTACTTTTCATGTCACCTTCTTTATTTTTTATGGTGTCTGTCTCCCTCCTGAATTCATAGCTTAGCTCTTGAAAATTTTTGTTTCTCTATTATCATGCTAATGACTTTTATTTTGAATTATTTTTCGAGAAGATTTGTGATTTCAGTTTCATCCACCCTCCTTTTGGTGTTTGAGGAATTTTGTATTGAAGAAGGTTCTTCTGCCTTTTCATAATCCGTTTGGATAATGAGAAATATTAGGTTTGTGTAGGCAGTGCCCTCTAGTGGTGGGAGTCTTCTCTTTGTACATGCACAGCACCTGGAGCTGTTGCAGTGGTTGCAGGTGAACGGTGCCATTGCTTACCCTAAGGAGAGAGCTCTTTCCTGCTTTCCAACCGCAGTGCCATCATGCACTGTCAGGACCAGTGAGCCTCTTGCAGGGAGCAGCCTCTGAGTTAATTCTCTAATCTGCTTTTGGCAGGGCTGCCCTTCTGCTGGCCTGGAGTGATGAAATGGTTCGCAGGCTAACCGCGCCAGTGTCTCCTGTGAGGACAGAGCTCTTTCTGCCCTTCCAACCGCAGTGCCTGCCGCGCAGTCAGGGCCAGTAACCTGTGCTTGCAGGGAGCAGCAGCCTTTGCAGTAAGTCCCTAAGCTGCTGTAGACAGGGCTGCCTTCCTGCTTGCTTGGAGTGATGGTGGGGGTCACAGGCATGCTGCGCTTGTGCTTGCTTGAAGATCAGAGTTCTTTCCTGCCCCACAGCAGTGCTTGCTTGCCTTTATTGTCAGGGCCAGTGAGCTGTGTGTGCAAGAAGCAGCCTCTGTGTTAAGCCACTATAGATAGTGGCTGTAAACGGGGCTTCTTTCTGGCTGCCATGGACAATGGCGGTGGCAGCATGTTTGTGTGCAGGTGCATGCTGGGAGGAGGGAGCGACAGAGTGCTTATCCCGGTGGTCGCATTCGGGGCTGCATTGCTAGCCAGGGCGATGGATCGCCTGAAGCTCCTGAATATTCCCAACCTGCTGGGCTGAGTATGCTCGGAGGATTTTGTCCACCTGTTCCTTCTCCTGAGTAACAACTCTGTGTAATCCTTGCCCCTTTAGCAGCCTCTCATTGTTTGGAAGTCTTTCAAATCACCCACCTTTCTTTTGTCCCAGAGCAGACGGTTGTGGGAACCTGTTCTCCTCAAGTGGCTGGAATCTCAGTCTTCCCCAGTCTTCTGCTTGATTTTGCTCTCCAACCCCTCAATCTCCAGAGCACATGCAATGTGGGTTTCTTCTCTTGCGGTAAATCTCCAGAGCTGGTTATTTAGCAGTCCTGGGCTTCTGCTCCCCCCTCCTCTGTTTCTCTTCCTCCTGCCAGTGAGCTAGGGTTGGAGGGCTCAGGTCCCCTCGGATGGCGGCTTTGTTACTTTACCCTTTTCCTTGAGATGTTCTCTTTTCCCAGATGGCTAGTGCAAAGTTTTTTCTGGTCACTCTTTCAGGATTAGTTGTATTTGCTCTGTTTTCATACTATAGGTAGTTTTTGGGAGGAGATTTCTGCCTCAGTTCTTACGCCAAATTAATTTTTCCCCTCCCTTTATATATTTTGGATGTTAACCCCTTATTGGATATGTTGTTTACTAATATATTCTCTCTCCCATACTGTAGGATGCCTTTTTGTTCTACTGATGGTGTCCTTTGCTGTATGGAAGCTTTTGTTTGATGTAGTCAGTTTGTTCATTTTTGCTTTTGTTTCCTTTGCCCGAGTTGATGTGTTTAGGAAAAAGTTGCTCATTTTATATTCAAGATATTTTTCCCTATGTTTTCTTCTAAGAGTTTCATGGTTTCATGACTTACATGGAGGTCTTTGATCCATTTTGAGTTTACTTTTGTGTGTGGGGTTAGAGAATAACTCTATCTGGCCTGTCTGGTCTACTGATTCCTTCCAGTTTCATTCTCTTACATGTAGCTGTCCAATTTTAATATTTCTATTTTTTTAATACAAGCATTTAAAGATACAGATTTTATTGTTAGTTTTCTTTAACTTCATCCTATCAATTTTGATTTCAATATGTAGTGTTTTTATTTTTGTTCAATGTATTTTATAGTATTTTGCATAATTTTTTTGATCCATGAGTTATTTAGAAGCATGTTATTTAGTTTATAAACTTGGGGGGGTGTCCCTATTTTTTGTTGTTTTCTAATGAAATCTTTTGTATGTAAGGGATATACTTAGTGCAATTTCAGTGTTTTTAAATTTATTGAGACATATGGCCTTAGGTGTAGACTATCCTAGAGAATGTTGTGTATGCTCTTGGAAAATATGTATATTCTGCTGTTTTCACATGGAGTGTTCTCTAAATATCAGTTAAGTTAGTTGATAATGTTGTCTAGTCTCTGTTTACTCATTTTCTGTTTAGTTGAATTAATTCTTGAGAGTATTTTTGAAATCTCCAAATATAATTGTTGAATTGTCTATTTTTCTTCTTAGTTTTGACAATTTTGGTTCATTTTTTTTTGTACCTCAACGTTATGGGCATATAGTTTATAGTTGTTATAGTTTGCTATAGTATTGACCCTTTTATCGCTATAAAATGTTTTTCTTTGGCCTTTAAAAAGTATTTCTTGTCTACAGTTAGTTTTTTTTCATGTTTCAAAAATAGCCGTGGTTATTGTTTCTATTTCATGTGTTTTTATCATCATTTTGTGTCTTTGTATCTAAAGTGTGTCTTTAATAGACTATATGTAGTTGAGATTTCCTTGTCTATCTGGTCTACTGATTTCTTCCTTTTGAGTGAAGTGTATTGTTATTTGATTTAATTATTGATATGATTTGATTTATATCTGCAATCTTGATATTTGTTTTCTATATGTCTCAAGTTTTTTCTTTTCTCTCTGTTTCTTTTTGTTAAACCAATGCTTATTAGTGCATTATTTAAAATTTTCCCTTGATTTTTAAGACTGTTATTTTAGTTATTTGCTTAGCAGTTGCTGTCATTATTACAATATTAGCCTTGACTTACTACAGTCTACTTCAGGGTAAAACTAAATATGGTTTCTCCCCAGACTAGAATCAGCTATTTGTTTAAATAACTCATTCCTTTTAGTGGAAAGTTTTTAAAGTATTTCGGTTTCATTGTTGAGATTCCCTATTTTTTGAATCATTGTTACAATATTTTTCTTTATTTTGGGTAATTTCTTTTAATTCTTTGAGGATATTTGTAATAGCTGTTTTATAGTCTTTGTCTACTAAATCCAACGTATAGCCTCATTAATGGGCAGTTTCTATTGACTGTCTTCTTTGTATGCTCTTCATTTGTTTGATTGTTTCCTTCCCTCTTCTGTTCTGTCTTTGTGAGTTTATTCCTTTTCTCTCCCTGTCTTGTGGTTTTAGTGTGTTTGGGGAAGGGAACAGAGATGAATGTAATTTTTCAGCATGCCATGTTTAAATGACTGTCCTATAGCTTGTATTTAGACCAATGCCTTAATTCAAGATACCTATTTTCATAATTAATAATCTCTGTTACTACATAAACATATGAGAAATATATTTGGGATGTAATAGGCACTCAGAAAAAGTAATTTAAAAATAGAGCCATTTAGAATATATAAAACTGTGTATCCTTGTTGTAGTTTTTTTTGTGTGTGTGACAAAATAGCTAGGTTCATTGAGCACCTATCCAGTGCCAGGTGTTTTATATGTATTATCTAATTTAATTATTTTAAAAAATTGAGGTAAATACAATAAAATACACAAATCTCAGTGTACATCAAAATGAATTTGGACATGTATATAACTCATATAACCACCTTATGAGATTTGTTTTACCCAAGGAGTTGAATTTATAATTTTTACTATTTTCTTAGAGATAGAGAAGAACGATTGGCAGCACTCACAGCTGCTCAACAAGAAGCAATGGAAGAGCTACAGAAAAAAATACAGCTGAAGGTAGGAATGTTATATATATATTAATTAGAATGTTATATAATTAATTAATTAGAAATTTTAGAGCTCTCATTGGAACATGGATTAAAAATTTATCTATGGAATTAATTGTATAAAAACATAAATTTGTTTTCCTAATCTCTGGATAGTAGACCCATATGATTTGCCTATGATCATTTCTAACTCAATTATCTGAAAATTAAATTTAATAAAATAAAACAATTGAAAAATTAAAGGAATTTTAATGTTTTGTATTTGTACTAAGTAATTTGTTAATGACTTGAAGGCATTACTATTAGGCTTCTGATATTTATAGTCTTATTATCTAGAAATGGGCTAAGAGATTATTATAATGTATTTCACTGATTTCAGTGCTTATGAATTGCCCAATTTTAGTTTGGGACATTACAGTAAACAGATATATTCTAGAAAATCTTTATCGTTATTACTGCAGTTTCTAGCAGTGTGAATATTTTAATTTATCACAAGTTTTTACAGGTTGGATCCTCATAGAAGTAGTAGATTCCATAAGGTTGAGGACCATATTTTATTCTTTGTATAGCTCTAGAACTTAATCATTCATTTGAATTTAATGCAGCAAATATTATTTAGCCTCTGGTAGGAATGTGATACAGAGATGAGTAAGCCATACTTGTAAGTTTCAAGAAACTCATAATCTACACTTTCTTTGGTGAACCTTTAGTAATGTATATAGTTGCTAAATCACTGTGTTGTACACCTGAAACCGGTATTGTATGCCAAGTATATTTCAATTAAAAAAACAAACTCATAATCTAATGTGAGCTTCAGATGCTGAGCAGATAATTTCCATTTGTATGGAGGTATACACAGTGCTGTAGAAGTATAGAAGAGAGTGCTTAGTGCAGCAGGAAGTGTTTCTTTCAGAAGTCAGGGAAATGATTTTACAGAATAATTCCTGAGCTGAATATTGAAAGAGATGAGTTAAATGGGCAGGAGAATGGGTACATAGATGGGATGGCATTCCAACCAGATGAAATATTATGAGTTCATTATTGAAATAATGTTTTTTTTGGCTTGTTTGTGTTTTCTGGGAAGTTACTGGAAGGGTAGAACAACTAGAAATGGAATTAGTATGGGTAGAGTTCTATGTCATTATGTGCCTTTGCTGCTGTGAGGATAAGCTTGGTCTTTACCTGTGGGTATAGTGTGTTCCAAAAAAGCTTCTGAAAAGTGTGTTGTGGTCAAATAAGTGTAAAATGTTGTTTAATATAAGCTAGCTTTATTGAGTCATAGTATGCAGTGACATACTAGAGGCTGTGTGAAGTTTTGTGCTAAAAATCTGTTCAGCTTTTTTTTTTGAATTAACTATATTCCCTGTGTTGTACTTTCATTCCTGTGACTGAGTTATTTTTATTTTAACTTTTCTATTAACTTATCATTGATATACAATCTTATGAATATTTCACATGGGCAACATCATGGTTACTACATTCACCCATATCATCAAGTCCTCCCCCACATCCCATTGCAGCATGACTGATTTATTTTATGATTGAAAGTTTGTACTTCTTTATACCCTCACCTTTTTACCCATCACCCCACCCCCTCTCCTTTGGCAACTACCAGTCTGTTCTGTGTGTTTATGAGTCTGTTTCTGTTTTGTTTCTTTGTTCATTTTTGTTTTTTAGATTTCACATGTAAGTGAAATCATATGGGATTTGTCTTTCTCTGTCTGACTTATTTCACTTAGCATATAGCCCTCTAGATATATCCATGTTGCCACAATGGTGAGATTTCAATCTTTAATATGACTAATATTCCTTTGTGGTACAAGTATACCCCATCTTCTTTATCTATGCCTCTATCAATGGACACTTAGTTGCTTCCATATCATGCTATTATAAATGATGCTGCAGTAATCGTAGGAGTGCATATATCTTCTCAAATTAGTGACCTTATTTTCTTCAGGTAAATTCCTAGAAGTGGAATTACTAGGTTGTATGGTATTTCTATTTATAGTACTTGAGAAATCTCCATACTGCTTTTCATAGTGGCTGTACCAAAATTACATTCACCCCAACAGCACACAAGGGTTCCCTTTGAAAACTTATTTGGCTTTAACTTACTATTTTCCATATTGATTTGACCATCAGACCTCTTCCATAAAACACTTATTAATATCCCATTTTGTAGCTCCATGGAGCACACTTTAGGTAACACTACTTTGCATGTGGGAGTTTTTTAAGGGGTTTATGTAAATTGTTCTCATTGTTCAAGTTAACACTGAATTATGACATTCTTCTGTTATTTAAGAAGGTTTAATGGGAATATTATTTTTTCAAGTTCTCAGTATAATTTGAATAAGTTTTGGTATTTTCACACTTGACTTTATCTACAGCATGATGAAAGCATTCGAAGGCACATGGAACAGATTGAACAAAGAAAAGAAAAAGCTGCTGAGTTAAGCAGTGGGCGACATGCAAATACTGATTATGCTCCCAAACTGACCCCTTATGAAAGAAAGAAGCAGTGTTCTCTCTGCAATGTCCTGGTAGGTTGGCATTATCAATATTGTGATGATTTATTATAATTTATTACTAAAGCTTATTCAACTATGGAAATATATTCACCTGGTCTTTGAAAACACATACAAAGGCATTTGCTGAGTACCATGGATTTCTTTCATGATTTTATGTGAAACAAGTGATACAAAAATAATATCAGCATTTAAGGAGTGCCAAGTGCCAAGTGCCAAAGCATGCAGTTACTGTTAAAATGGATGTATACCTGCTTAATGATAGCCCAAGTCAGTATTATTGGGTATTGGGATCAAAAAAGAAAAGCAACATTTTCAGTGTTGAAGCTTGAACCTTGGTACTTAAAGGAAATTATATCCTTTCAAGGTTGGCTGTGATGGCATATGCCTTCCTTGACCATGTGTCTTCTAGAGAATTTTCAGAATTGTGTTTTAAAGAGAATATTTTTAAGCCTAATATGAAAATGCTAGAGTGATCTCAACTTGCATATAGCATACTGGATTGAATAGTAATATTAAAATTAAATGTAATTATATATTGATTAAATTGCTTTGATTTTATGCTTTTAGATCTCTTCAGAGGTGTATCTTTTTAGCCACATTAAAGGAAAAAAACACCAGCAAACTGTGAGAGAAAACAGCAGCATCCAGGGGCGTGAACTTTCAGATGAAGAAGTGGTAAGCTTTACTTTTGTTTATTTACACATATTTATTGAATACTTAGTATGTTCCCGTTTATTATGAAGAATTCCATTTTCACATATATTTCTATAATTATTTAAAATTTAACATTTACAGGCTGCTATAATATGGTATACAAATGTCATTTTAATAAGGATTATGGAATAAGAATGTAATATTTATAAAGTTTTAGTGCAAAAAAGATTATGGCATTTTGATATTTGAGTAATAGAAAAAAACAATTATTTAGTAATACTCTATATTTCTTGGATAACCCTGTAAATTTTTGAAATGCATTATTTATCTACCTGTAATTATTATTCATGCAGAATTTAAATTTGTGTATTTTATAAACATTTTTCATTCAAGTATTATTGAGATGTGGATGACATTGTTAATCTATGGATTTGTTGATTCTATTTATAATGGTAAATTTCTCAGCTACCCAAACATGAGGAATTCCTATTGTCAAACATCTCTTACAATGCCCAGGAGAGGTTATGGTGGTTCTTTGAGGGCAGTACCTGTGTGTAGATGCACATGTATTTAGCTTTTTGTTTTTTTAGTATAACATGTAGTAGTAAAAAATACCAATCTCAATTACATAGCTCAATAAATTTTTTCATAGGTTCCTCATATTAAAATATAGTTCATTTCTTTGACCCCTGAAGTCTCCTTAACAACTCCAGAAGGCTTTGTCCCAGTTATGCCCCACAAAAAACTCTAGATAACTAGTCTCTGACTACTAGCCCTATCAGTTAGTCTTGATTGTTCTGGAATTCCATTTGAATGGAAGCCATTTGTGTCTGGCTTCTCTCACGTGTCCTGAGGTCTGTGAGGCTGATCCCTAATGCTGGTATGAAACTACAGTCCATTTCTTTTCTTAGTTTACTGTCAAAGCCCTCTAGGAAAAGATCATCAGAAATACATCTATAGTTGAGTAAAATTCAGTCTATTGATTTGTTGAAAGAAGGGAAAGCACGCATCATGGGGAGTTACGGAGCTTTCCGGTGAGGTTTTAGAAAGGATGGATGGGATTGGGACTTGTGCTGGGTGATGTGGAGACCAGTTCAAGGATGTGGGGCTTTGCTCTGGATTGGATGCCGTCAGCAAATGGAGCCGATTCTGTAGTTGGTTCTACTAGGTAGGAAGACTGAAGCTCTTGTTTTCTCATGGGTTTCTGGATATGACCAGTGCTTGAGAGAAAATTGCACACAGTTGTCTGGACTCACTTCTCTTCCTTTTGAGGGCCCTTCAGGTTTCAACCACTTTGACAGCTCTAAATCGAAATTCTGTCTCCTCTGCTAAGTAAGACTGCTCTTTTCAGTTTACAGTCTTCTTCCATGACAAAAATTGGCATAAGTCCTTAAGGAAAAGTCCTAGTAAATGTGGAGCTCACCTCAAATGTTTCCCTTTTAAGGATCTTGATCTCTCAAGTGTTGGCTGTTCCTTAATGCCTTCAAATAGATGCTTTGTATATTTTGTGCAACTTGTGGAGTGGAAGATTAGTGTAAGCCACTTCACTGGGTCTGTAATTGGAAATCTCTGAATATTTTATTCTCCGATATCTGTTATTTGACATAATGCTGGGCATATAGTGAGGTATTTAATAAAAACTTACTGAGTTGAGTTGAGCTGAAAGGTTGTGAAGAATGGCTTTAGGTACCATTAATAAAAAGTGAAATTAAAAAATGCAACTACTCATCTATTTAGTTTGCCTCAAATAATTTTTTCCTTTCACTCAAAATTAGGTGGGTATTTTAAGAAAGAGTAGCATGGAATTTTTTTCAGTAGAATCATTCATGTAATTATATCCACCCTCTTAAGTTTGCTGTCTAGAGCTAGAGTCACATGTATGCATACTCCACTTTGAAAAAATCCTAACTTGCTTCATTAATTAGAAGGTAATTATTCTTGCTATAAAGGAAACCCTTCCATTTATAAAAATTATTTGTAATTAAGTTCTCTTAATAAAACTAAATATTTATTTTAAAAATTTCTGGAGCACTGCTGTTAACATGTATTATCTAAATTTTATGTTGTTGTCCATGAGAAAAGAAGGAAAGAGTATTTAACTCATGCACTTTAGAAGCAAATGTACAATATTATCTAAGTTTTGCAGCTTTCATAGCATAGTCTGATGGTTAGCTGAGTGGTTTTATTTTTAATTGATGTGTTCATTCTGTGTACAGTTTCAGTTTAAAAGAATTAAATTTTCTTTAAGTTCTCACTTAATTCATGTTGTTTTTCTTGGTTAAAACCTCTTCTTCCTGAAAACAATTGTGCAGTGTAGCATATGAGGCAATTTTACTCACATGGAAGTTTCACTTTTAATCAGTGAAGGTATCTATATTAAACATTCTTGTTCTACTTAAAGTTATTACTTGTCATCTGTGATGTCTTTATATTATATACACCTTGTCTGTGACCCTTCTTCTTTGACATACAAGATTTTATTTATACCACTTCTGACCTAATAAAATTGTGCCTTTGACCTTATGCACTTGACATATCAGATAACTTACTCTTGATCTTTGACACATTTTCTTTTAAGCCATTAAACATAATAGGTGGCTGCCCAGCAAGAAAGATTTAATTTTTTTGTGTTTTTGTTATAATTTGACCAGGAAATCTTTCTTGTGTTTCTTGAGACTTCACAAAAAGAGCTCTTACGTTTTTGATGTTTTTTTCTCTTTCATCATTGTAGAATCCAAATGACAGAAGTATATGATTTTTAAAAGTCAAAATAAATGCATGCTAGTTTAAATACATTCTGAAATTTAATTTTTTTCATGCATTGCTAGGGAATAATAAAGTATTAGTTATAATTAGAACTCTGATTTTTTTGTGTTTCTGATTTCACATTGTCTAAATAAGCTGATAGTGATTTTTGTGGAAGTTGCATGAAGTACATTTAATCCTATATAGGAATGAAGTTAAAAAGTTTTGTTTTTGTTTTTTTAATTTGAATTCGTGTATTTCTGTGTTTTTGAGAGTCCTTGGCTTTAAAAGCATGTAAATTATACAAACTGTGTTTGTTACCCTATGTACATAAAAACAGAGAAAGTAATAGTTTATTTTTATTTAATTCAGGGAAAGTATGGAAAAGACTTTTATGAGGATCGTACATTATGATTTATTGGATGTTTACAACTAATTGTTATTTTACAAATCCTAAAATAGTATCAACTTGCAAAAATTATGCTTGTTAGGTTATTGAAAAAAAAATGAAACTTTAAATTAGCAACAACATAAAGACATCACTGTATTTAATGAAATAAAAGCTAATTTCTTTGGCTAGAGTGTGCTTTGCACTGAAAGGGAAGAAGTAGATGTCTCCCAGAATTGATGAGTGTCGGGGAAGTAATAGATAATCCTAATAGATTAACTTGTTTTCTTACCTTTGCTTTTACCTTATTTATAGAAGCAGGAGTATTTACTCTCTTTTTATAATCATGTTAGGAGAACATCTTGTTTGCCTTTCAACAGAAAAATCAAGTCAAATAAACAAACTAGACTCATTTAGAATAAGTCTCTGTTCTTAATCCCAGTACTTCAGTTTGGTACACTTTAAATTAGTTTGAGAAATAACCTAAAATAGAAATGTCATACCCCTTCTTATAGGATCTAGCTTCCATCACCTTCATTTTCTCTTTAATAGGAAGGAAACATTTTGATAAGGGTGTGCATGATAGAGGTTGAGAACATGTACATGTATTCAGAATATAATTCACATACAAATATAATTGATTGTTAATTTATATATTACTTTTTCTAACTTGTAATTCTTAGAGTTGGTAAATTCACTCACATTGTAACTAGGATGTGCAGAGAACATGTATCTGTATAACCATAGCTAATTTAATCCCCTTCATTGTTTCAAGAAAAAAATTCTAGCTAGGAAACAGTTTATTTTAAACCTGATCCAATAACTTAAGCATTTTCTCTAGTTCATACCTAGCCTCTTTTGAATGACAATCCTTGGTTCCCATCCACTTGCTTATCTCTTTAAGATGACATCTGTATGTATCAGAGGAAGAATATGGCTTACATGATACCACAGTACAAGGAATGTTGGAATCTTACTACATAATAATCTTTTCTGATTTCCAGTGTGAGCCCCTTATTCACCTGTTCAGTGTTCTCTGGGACACCAGTCCTGGCGAGTGTCGATGACTTGATCTGGTCTTCCCACTTGGACGACGTTCTAGCGGAGCATCAGCCATTCATCTCCTCTTCCTGATCAGACCACCCTCTTAGTCTTCTCTGCTTATGCATTCATGAGTCTTTGCCACGACCTCCATTCTGACCTCTGGCAGGCCTACTGGCATCGACCACAGGGTTCATGCCACGTAAGAACTAAGGGCATTTTGCAAAGGTGAACTACAGAGCCTCCTCCTGATCACACAGCCCGACCGTGTTGACGGGCCGCACACTATCGGTGCTAGGGCGGGGGCGGGGGTTCTCCTCGGAATCAGAATAACGCGTAGGTATTACGTAGTTATCACATTGATTTCCCTCAGGATAACACATTAAAAAATTGTTTTCCTCCTTCCATCTCTGAATTTCTTTTGGCTAGAACAAGATACAATTCAACCTCTACTTCTTTCTCATTCTAAACAAGTAACTAAGCCTTAAGATTGGTAGACGAAACTTTCTCCATACTTTGAAGTAAATGTTATAATTTGAATCCTTCAGTATAGAAGGATTGCCATGCTAAAGGGCAAGATAAGTAAATTTATTAAATCCCAGAATATTACCTTGGTTATAAACCTTTTTTCATGCTTCATTTGTCTGTTTTGCATATCTAAAGTTGATTATTCTAGAGGGCTTTTCTCCTGTACTTATTTTAGAACAAGCTCTAATCACCTCTCTAGCTAGGTTGAGTTGGGTGAAACCCATGTGCTGAGAAGATGGTGACATGGTCTCGGGCTGTTATTCTGGTGACTGTTTTCCATGCTTCTTCTGATGTGACTTGGCCGTTGCACTTTCACTGA